TTACACTATAGTCAGTCTGTTCGTTGCTTAACTTTCGTAACAACTGTTGCTAGGGCTGTGGCCAGCCCTGGATGGAATGCTAGGGATGCTATGTCTATCTTAGGATTACTTCTCCCCCACCAGCACTTTATGAGGTTGCCATAACAACTTGCTAAAAATGAACCGTCGACTCTTACCTTGTTGTTCGCCTTTGATCTGTTCGCCTTCTACTGGCGCCGCATTCTTGATGTGCGGTTTTCCTTTACTGAACACAGCATCCAATTGTTTGTCAATCTGATGTAAAAATAACAAAAGCAACAACACGTTAAACAAACCAGCCTCCTACACAGACATTCTTTGGATTCATCACACAATCTTCCTCGTCGTGACGAGCCCAAAGACCGTCTGCATGGGATGCTAGCAATAAACGGCCAAAATAAATACTGGCGATGGATAAATTCCGAACTCAGCTCCTCCACAGCCTTCTCTTCAGTTTCAGCTTCGTCATCAGCATCTTGAAGACCAAGAGCCTCTAAAGAAACGGAAAAAGTCGAATTTTATCCAGAGGTAAAAGGATATAAGAACTACAGAAAACTACGTTACGGTAAACATGCCGTTAGATATGCAGGACCTTTATTATGGTCTAAACTAAGTAAAGATGTTACAGAGACTGGAGTCCATCGCGCCGCCCATCAGGCCACTTTTGTAAAAGAAGACGGTCGCTTAATAGAGCTTCCACAGCCCGTAATGTTGAACTTCTACTCCAAGGGCGATATTGGGGTCATCATTGAAGTGTGTCGGGCGACGATCAAAATGTAGAATGACAAAGGAATTATGTAAGTATGTGAATATCGATTATTATATGGCTAGCTCCGTGAGCGGGCAAGATGAGCCGAATCCTACGCTGTTATTGGCTACCCAAGCAGGTAAGATGGCGCTATCTTGCCCGCTCGGGATTACCCGCTGTCTCCCGCAAGGAAATAGTGTTCTTTTTTCATGTAATAAATTTCATATTAACCAAGCTTGTGCAGTCGAGATGGCTGGATATTGGCCTCGTTCTTTTGTTTCGTGTTCAAAAACGTGCAAAACAATCTTGACCTCACGCTTGGTCAACAACCCAGATACCTCACCTCCAAGGAGAGATAAACAAGGATAAGACGTTCTCAGAAGATCTTTAAACAACATGTCAGCCTTTTCTTGCTTTTTGACCAACACCAAAGCGCTACCTTAAATAGCACCAAAAAAAAACACTCAAACTACTTACTAAGCTACATTTAAATTTCAGTAGTCCACTCTGCAATGCCAATCGGCGAAAGAGACTTTTTACGACAAGTTTCTAACACTTGCTTGCAGCTAATTACTGTTTTCATATGAAAACGAACTGCACAGGTTTTACCCAACAACACCCCTACCCCTCCCCTAGGAATAATCAATTTTCGCTGAAACTTACTGCTGTACTTGGATCAAGCTTAACATTTAAAATGTTTTACTACAATTAATTCATGAAACAAAACCAACCTTGGTTACGTTGTCTTTCACTATCTCTACAACATATTCTCCAACGTTTCCAGTTGAAAGCAAAATGTTTACCTTGTTCCTGGTAAATACAAAGCAACTCCAGTAGCTTCAAGAACTTGTCATCTTCTTCAATAACAATCTAAGAAAGACAAATGTTCATATAACTTGTGTGAATGACTAAGAAATATTTACAAACCTTGCCTTCCTGCGGCTTCCTGGGTAAATCTGGCTCAGTGAATTTCGCGGAACGAAGTTTCGAAATTTAACCTTAAGCTGCCATGAACAGTGCAATCCAGTCTCAGAGCAGTGTTACCAAACGGACTCGAAAGTAACTGCAAGTTGAACTTCCTTATAGACTTCTGTTGAGTGGCCAAATGTTTTCTCGCCAGTACACACAAGTCGCAAAAAATAGACATTTCAACGCTACATATTCTGTATTTCATTGACTAATAGGCCGCTATGACAAGGAATGGACGTCACTTAACTTGGTTGACTTGGGTTGGGTGGCCAAACAGTGAAAAACATGCGCCAACTAGCGTACAAATTTGACCTCGACCAAAGTGAGCGCAAGTCATTGCAAGCCAATTCAATGCAATTGCACGTAAGGCCTGGTCAAATGGACTTGCAGGTAGACCGAAGTTTTCAACTTGCCCGTTTGGCCAGGGCCTAACCTTCTTCCACTCAGCTGCTTTTTCTCGATGAAAAACCGTTTCACTGGACGAAAAACTTCATGCAGTACAAATGGTACGCGCTTTTAAGGCCTTTTAAGCTTAATATAAAACAAACAAAATTGTATCAGACTCCAATACATACAACGTTTGTTGGACATCTGAGCAAACAATACTTCGTCCACCAACTTGTATCTAAAACGACAAAATAAAACCTCGGATAGA